GCGACAGGTATATATTAATATGTAAAGTAACTTGCCATTCCTACCTGATCAAACCAGGTTGAATTTCGCATGCTTTAGCTTTAATCTGAACATAGACAATAAACACTTATATTCATATAAAACATAGTTTAGGAAGAATATATTTACAATATTTTCAATTTGTGTTACTTCTTCACGCGGTATTCGTTCATTAAATTCATTATAATATTTCAAACCAATTTCTTGCGTACGAGTTAATTTGGCTTTTGTACGTAGATCATCCAACGTACGAAAACCCTAAATAAGACAGAAAATGGATAATGAGTGAGAGAGTAAAAGCAAGCCAAACAAACTGCTCATATTAAAAGCAAAAATAAAAGCATAAGCAAAATCCAAAACAAAGTCGACTTCTATTTTTTCATACCGTTCAATGAGCCGTTTGAGTAATGTAAGACTAAAGTGAAATAATTTTATTACTAAAGCATACGAGCAGAATTATTAAGAAAAAACAAATGCACAGAAAATCATGTCTATAAAACAACTTGAAGTAGTAATAGACTCAATAATCAAAAGAAAATTGGCATTATATTCTGATATGTTTCAAGTTCTACCGTTTTTTTATCCATACAAGAAACAAAGAACAATTAATTTTACATACTTGTGCAAACCATTGTTTCGTCGTTTCTGATCCTGCACCCCAAACACCCGAAAATAATGCCAAGGTTGATACATCATCTCGAGATTGAAATGCTTCCAATTTAATTAAACTATCTGTCTTGATTATTTCCCATATTTTTTCCGCCAAACTTTGTCCGATATTTGGTAATTCAATAATTTCCTATAAATATTGACAAAACAAATATCACCGTTAATTGATTAAATTGACCGTTAATTGATCTAGTTAGTGTTAACTCTATTCTCTGTTATCAGTCATGGCACAAGTTTACCTAGTGAAGGTATACAAAAAGCTGACAAACCAATTTTCAACAGAATTGTATTCTTTAACATACTTGATACGTTGTAATCTGTTTCGTACATCTTTTTTAATGCATCAATGGCTTTCTGATCCGCATGTTTCAATGATCAAACCAGGTTGAATTTCGCATGCTTTAGCTTTAATCTGAACATAGACAATAAACACTTATATTCATATA